CCCAACAATTCTGTAGCATCCCCTTTACCCGCCACGCCAAGGAGCGACCACTTGGATCTTGAGACGAGACTCGGACAGTTGATGTTGTAATATCGGCTGGGGAGTTGTCCCTTGCCTGCGTCCTGGGGGGTTTGATTTTGTAAAGCTTTTCAGATGGGCGAACCTGGGGTGGTTGATTCTGTGGCACATTTTCCTTAAAGAATCAACCACCCCTACATACTCCAGGAATTCGAAGAGGGATCCACTTGGTCACGTGACTGGCGACAGACGCGAGGGTGGCAGCCGAATTTCGCTGTGGGGCTGCTCGTTTGTTACCAGTGGTTTGATGTCTATTGATAGCCCCGAAAAGAGGTTAAGGGGTGTCCATTAACCACCCCCTTGTGGGTCCTAGTTGAGGTCTGTGCCATCTATATCTTTCAGAAAGCTCGTGCAGCTCGTGCACTGCTCGTGCCTATCGCCGCCGCGAAGGGTCAGCTGGTCGTGACTCTTCGTGATGAGATCGTGGTGTCCAAATATTGCTCGTTGAGGCCCCCGAAGAGGAGCATCTGAGAAGTGCACGCCCTTGCTTTGCGGAAACCGGCAGACACTATTTGGTGAACTGGGGTGGGCGGTGTTTGAGGGTGCAAAACCCATTTGGAGGAACACATGCCAGCACCCGACTGGACAGTTCATTGAAACAGAGATGGTGAGGCCACTCGCGTTCTGCCGCACTGCCCGTTCGCGCAGCAAACACGTCCACGAACCGCCACCCGCAAGGCCAAAATGCAGAAGGTCGCCACCATACGGAGGACGGGGCATCCAGCTCGTTCGCCAGGTCAATGGCTGGGAGTTTTTTGGGGATTGGATGGGTGGTGAATCCATCCAAATCGTCAATCATCCAGGAATCGGCCGAATTCTCCATCCAATCCATCGAATGATCAATGATCCAATTAACATCATGCATGGTCCGAATTGTCATGAAATCTTCAATATCATGAATGTCGTGACCCTCTCCAGACGTTGGTTTCGGTGATGGGTCATTATCCTGACAAGCAACCGTCTTTTTTCGCCACCGTTTGCCGAAGGGAGTGGGGGGATATCGACCTGGTCAAAGTCACTGACTTGACCCGCTGTTGGTTCCGTCACCGGTGAACCTGGACACCCGATTTCAAGTTGAAGACGTTGTTTTGAGGGCGGCGCTCCAATCCGTTTGAATGAACCATGCTCAATGTTTTTAAAAGCACTACAGATGTTGGGATGATCAATCAAAGCAATCAAAGCAAAAAACATTTAAGGACGGATGTGTGCGGATGATTCCAGGAGCAAGTCATACAAATTGTCAACTGACGGCGGCCCTCCTAAAGGATTGACCAGGGTGAGGAATTTGAAGGGATAGCTGCCAAGCCCAGCTGCTATGTTGGTTTCAGGAAGGACTTTAAGGGTTTTCATATTTTTCATGTCTAATTCCATCCCGGTGTCTATGCTGGGGTGACAATGTGCAAGACTTGAGAACATTTGTTTGATTTGCACACATGTATCTTTGTTTTTCCAAACTTGTTACGGCATGTTGAGGAGCAAACAGCGAACACTCCTTTTTGTGCGTCAAGAGATTTGGTCCGGCACGAGGGGTGGCTATGACTTGAAATCCCTTGCGTGGCATTATGCCGCTCGGAGAAGCCAGGGATGAGAAGTTTGCTCGGGGGAAACTGGGGGGTGGCGGAGGTGAACGAGGCCATTCAGGTTGATGGTTGATTTCTTTGGAAGGACGCAACTAAAGTGGAGGCCATCGCAAGTAGGTTGGACGCTACTAGTAACAACAAGCTACTAGTAACAGGAATGTGCACTGATAAATCGGAATTGATTGCATAGCTGCCGCGAACAGAAGTTCTCAGTGTGCTCAAGAGTCAGACGCTCCGTTCACAGCCCTTGGTCCCTCAGAACCTAGGGGTTTTGAGACCCCAGACCATCCCACTCATGGACGTGTCATATTGTCCAACCATTGCCGGCGGATCAGCGGATCAGCGGACCAGCGGATCAGCGGATCAGCGGACCAGGGGATCAGCGGATCAGCGGACCAGAGGATCAGCGGATCAGCGGATCAGCGGACCAGCGGATCAGCGGACCAGCGGATCAGCGGACCAGTGGATCAGCGGATCAGCGCACCAGTGGATCAGCGGATCAGCGGATCAGAGGACCAGCGGATCAGCGGATCAGCGGATCAGAGGATCAGCGGATCAGCGGACCAGCGGATCAGCGGACCAGCGAGCGGATGCGCGGATCAGCGGATCAGCGGACCAGCGGATCAGCGGATCAGTGGATCAGCGGATCAGCAAATCAGCGGACCAGTGGATCAGCGGATCAGCGGATCAGCGGATCAGCGGACCACCGGATCAGCGGACCTGCGGATCAGCGGACCAGGGGATCAGCGGATCAGCGCACCAGCGGATCAGCGGATCAGCGGACCAGCGGATCAGCGGATCAGCGGACCAGCGGATCAGCGGATCAGCGGACCAGTGGACCAGCGGATCAGCGGACAAGAGGTGCAGCGGATCAGCGGACCAGCGGATCCAGTTGATCAGCGGATCAGCGGACCAGTGGATCAGCGGATCAGCGGACCAGTGGACCAGTGGATCAGCGGATCAGCGGACTAGCGGAGCAGCGGATCAGCGGATCAGCGGACCAGCGGATCAGCGGATCAGACAACCCAGCGACCATAAGTCAGACCATCCCAGACCATCCATGCATGTAAAATAACTAATATTCCAAAATGGAATCATGAAATGGTAATACAGTTCTATCAGCAATCCGCCTGGAAATTCTCCAATCGACAGTTCGAGGTCTCAGAAGTGTTTTGTTGGTGGCTCGAAGATCACCGGCATGAAACTGCAAGGGCGCACGAATTGATAGAACAAAAACATCAAATGATCTACAAGAAAACGCACATGTGAGGTTCGGTACGGCTGGATCCCTATGGTTTCGCACAAAAAGCTCGCAGAGAACCTGAGGGCCTGGCCGGCGAGGAGGCGCAAGGCTTTGCAGAGCTCTTTGGAGCCGCGACCTGAGCTGAGCTGGGGGCCTGCAGCACCCCAAGTGAGTGAGGGTGCTTGGGTGTCCTTACCCTGGTTTTGGGCTTGAGGTTATTATGTGTTTTTTTCTCTCCCCCCTAATTATGGGTGAATCCCCTTTGTTTGTTCTCCCAGCTCTTGCTTGATTCTCAGCTTCCTATCACGGATTCGGGCCCAACGGTTCGGCCGGATTCGGTCGGATGAGAGGAAGACAGACATAGGATGACGGCTGTCTTCATGTGGAGGGGCCAACCTGAGGGAAACTGCTTTGCATGGGTTGGGTTGCTTGGTCAAGTTGAGGTGTGTGGGTGTGTGGGTGTGTGAGTTTCTATTTGGGACCATCTGGCACCAGGGGATTTGGTGCCCACTGCGGATCATCAGATCCACGACTGGATCAAGAAACGAAACCAGCCTTCAGGGCCACGGAACGTGAGAACTGTGCCATTTGGAACCTGAGGACTTCAGGGCCGGAGTTAAACCTCCCTCGCAAGATGTTGAGCCTGAAATATCTGGGAACTCAGATGAAATCCAACAGCACATGTCCAACGAAACCCATGCGACTGCGACCGTCCTGAAACCAGAGCTCGCTTCCCCGCTTCGCCGGCTGGAACCGAAGAGCCCCCACCGTTCTTTAGCGTTTTCAGGATTCTTGGATGATTCTGGTCAGCCTGGTTGTTACATACCAGAGGCCTCACAAACCATCCGAAAACCTGGTTGTTCCCCAGCAAAAACACCTGAAAACCCTTCATTTTTGCATAGCTTGGAGGCCCCTGGCAGGCTCTATAGGCCTTAAAGGACACCTTGGACCAGCAAGGATGTGTGGGTTCCCGTCCTGGGCCGCTTTCAAGCGGACCTGAGGCCGCTCAGGATGTCGCGCTCAAGCAGCCTGGGACCTCATGTGACATGTGGCGAGGTGTTCTGAAGGGAGAGGAGGGATCCCTAGGGATCCAGTCCTACGTCCTCAGAAGGTACGACTGGACCCTCCTGGCACCTACTGACAATCACCTTCTGACAAGGTACTTGGATCCCTAGGGACTTAAGGCCAATGAATCGTGTTTTGTATGGTGGGCGAGCGGCGCCCGGGTGTTTGTAGCGCCCGGGCTGGCCCAAAGAGACAGAGCCACGCTCGTGGTCGGGACATGTATGGTGAGGCCAGCTTTAAGCAACCAGATCTTCGTCGTTAATGAGCAACGAGCTGACTTCGGGTTGGAGCTGGGCGCTGACCTTTACTTGTTGCTCGAGCTAGGCAAGGGTTCCAAAGAGGCAGCTTTGGCCAACATTTGGTGAATGAAAAGACCATAGTAAGTCTACCAAATTGTGGAAAAAAAGTGCATTTACTGTCTAGAAAGAAAGAACAATTACGGTCTAAAGATCGAAACAATAGACAAAAAGCCATCAACAGGTCTTTTGAGCTGAGCAGCCCGCTGAGCTGAGCTCAGCCTCGTGGCGGAAGTTCGGAAACCCCTTCGCATCTCTTCACGACTGCCCTCCGCATTTGGTGGTGGAAAGCGTCCGATCCTTCGTCCCCGGGACGCTGGATCTAGCGAACAGCTCTGCAAGCTGGATCCACTCTCACACCTTGGCTTTTTCTCAAGAGACTTGTCCAAACCCTCCTCTTCATGTGCTCGGTGTGATGAAAGAAAGCAGAATTTTGCCAAGCTGACTGCTGAAAGCTCAGGCACCTGCCATGCAGTTTGCCCGGCAACCGTAGGGCTACTAGCTGCCCCCTTTACTGATAGTGCCATTTTGTGAATAAGATTATACCAGGACCCTCCAAGGGGTGCCCAATGGAAGCCTATAGGTAGTGTGGGGTAGTTCCTTGGACACCCCGAAGGTCGGAGGGTCCTGGTCTAAGTCTTGTTTTGTCCCTACCATCCACCAATCGAGTTGTGACCTGTTTTCCGCCCAGGTTTGACTCCCCAGATCTCTTCCCGAAGTTCGCCTTGTATGCCGCACGCGACGCGGTGCGGTGGCCCAGCTGTTTTCGGGCGCGTCCGGCGGCATCAGTGATTCATTTGGAGATGGCCCTACTCCAAATAGGTTGTATCACACATGGTTTCTGGCACGGCTGCCTCTCCAGGTCACACGATTGACACCGGTCACACGATTGCGCGGTTGTCGAAAAGCCGTCCCAAACGCCGGAAACCGGTGGGGAGCCACATGCGCCGGAGCCACTGTTCAAGATGACAGACTCAAGGTCTGGCATGTTCAACTGTTCAGCTGCACACACACTCAGTCACTGGTTCATTCAATTTCATCATCCACGCGGAAAGGAATGAGGGAAACGCACGGCGGCTGAGTCGGCAACATTACTTGAAATGTTGGCAACACTGTTCAGAATCTCTTGCGACAGTGCAGCTGCAGAAAGCGGCGGGGGAGTGGTTTAGGGGAAAGGTATCATGGAAACCACAGTGAAATCAAAAAGACAGCAGCAGGGCGGACCAGTGATGTCTTTGTGTTCGGAGCAGGTACAGGACCAATCCCTTCCCATCTGTGATCATAGCTTCGTTGCGTGCAGTAGGTCACAGATGCTGCACGTCCCTGCATGACTGGTTGTGTGAAAGTGGAAAGCGGTAAACAAACTCCTAGAAACGGAGGGTGACACGCACACAATAAAAAAACAAGCAAAGAAGAAATCGTTCCTGCTAGTCTTGGTAGGTTGGGAGTTGGTACTTTTAATGTTTGGATGGCAGGCCAGGTTGCAAAGATTAGCATGGCTCAGGACATGGGTCAGGCAGGCTCAAGGGTAAGGCCGTCGCCCGCCTTTCTTGTACCATATGGCTTTCGGTCAAAGCCAGAACCCCTAATCCTTGGCAGGTTGACTGACCTGCCCATTAATTCTGTTCATGACTCGGTGGCAAAAACCCGGGCCCCTCGCTTTTTGACCTGCAGCCAATATATGATGCCTTTGAATTCTTGGAGTGCGATGCATCCAAAGCATGGAAAGAGGGGTCAATGCCGGGGTTGCCAAGGAGAACATGTTTTGGGGACAGCACTCCGAGACCAGTAAGCTTGGAATAGATCGGTAGATCCGTGTTGATGAGGAAAGCAGGTGATTTGGATCGGTGTCCACGCAAAAGACCCTTAAATCGTTCACAGATCCGGATGGGCTTCGGAGTTCAAATCTGCTCACAAGCACCAGCACCAAGTGCGCTGAGCTGTGGGAGGTCTACACCTACAAGCTCTTCCATCTTCTTCGTGAGACCTTGCACCAAACGTCCGGCGACCGTGCAGACGGCGAGTCGGTCACACCGAGGGGTGGGCCGGTCACAGGACGTCAAAGATGGGCAGATGATGAGTGTGCAAAGTATATAGATGAAAAGTATCATAGTACTATGGATCAATGGATCACAGAGTAGGATCACTGGCAGTATGATGAGTGTGCGAAGTATCATCTACAAGTCAATATTCACAAAGTCATCTACAAAAGTAGGTTCAACAAGAAGCCACGAACGTAACAAGTGCATCGCTTCTAGTAACAAGGAAGTGCCTTACTACTAGTAACAAGAAGCTATTAGTAACCTACACCGACTTCGTCGTACCTCCAAACCGGTTCGGTCCGCCTGGACCTGACTGGCTGGCACGGCCCCTTCTCCGGGCCCACCGGTATTCAGAAGGTACGGCTGGAGCTCTAGGGATACCCTACGCCGTACCTTAGCTCCATAGATCCTCAGGTTCGATGGTTAGACCTGCCTGGCACCCAGCCCAACCAGCGAGGCCCAACGGAGGTGCGACTGGAGCTCGAAACGGGCTATAATGGATCGAACGAATCGATCCTCCGAGGCCGTGGAACAGCGAGGCCCAACGGCGCGACGTCGCGGAGCTCCTGCTGGACGATCAGGCAGACCGCTGGACGATCCTGCAGACGTCGGGTCATGGAAATGACCGGGGGGGGGCACCCCCCCAAAAAGTAGAATCAGGACGCTCTCACTCTGAGCCTGTTTTGTGTTTTATGTGTTTTTTTTTAAATCACTTTTGAACATTTTTGAACTATAGTCATCTTAGCTTTGCTTGTGCTCAGATGGCTTTAGCATGGCTATTCCCTGTGCATTTGCTGTTTGCTGGTGCCAAAATCCACCCCAAAAACTAGAACAAACGAACAAAACAAGTCTTTGTCTCAGGACCTCCCCCTCAGACATTGACTTGGTTTTTCTATTGGCTTACAAATCGCAGTGAACAAAGGCTCCAACGAAGCCACCAGCACCTTTGGCCATCTGAAGCTCCAACGATTCCAGTAAACCTTCCTTTTAAGTGCCTTGTTTTCCGATCCTCAAAGGCCCGGTGGCCCCAGCACTAAACCCATACTCCTCCATACTCCTCCCACCGGATTGGCCCCTACTCCCTGTGGAGCCAAGCTCCACAACCGGCGGCGAACCAGGTGGCAGAGGAGCTCCGGCGCTCGCAGAGGCCGATGGCCTCGTCGTGGCCGCGTGGGCCTGTGGAGGCCGAGAGGAGCACGTGCTCCCCTCGTCTAGACATGGAAGTCCGTCACGAGTCCATTGGAGGTTCGTCACGAGTCCATTGGAGTGGATGCGTTCTTCGCGAACTGGTCCAAGCTTCGACCCGTTTTCCATGGAACTGGTTCCTTGGGCGTTTGGTGAGATGGGGAAGCCCAGAAAGCCTGAGCCAAAGACTGGATGGCTCTAGGTGAAGCTACTGGCTCGTTAGATTGCTGAGCAGTGTGGGGTCTTGGTTCGCCTGCAAAACAAGCTGATCTCAGGGAGAGGGGAAATGGAGAGATACACGTTCTGAAATGATCATGGAAGTGGAACATGGCCCTTTGGATGACATGTTCCTGTGCAAACAGGTGGTTTTCCACTTAGCCTCCACTAAATCCTGAACACATACACACAGAATGCATTCAGAACTCTTCAGGTACAGGAGCTTCCCAATCTGATGACTTACCTTGATGGATGACTCTTATCTTTACACCACCTTGACTACCGAATGGAAACCCTTGGAAGATTTATTGAAACAGATTCTGGACAAAAATCAACAGATTCTCCAGGATGAACCACCGATTCTGCATTTGGAGAGCTTGGTGAATAACACCATACGCACCATTCTTTCAGTTGAGACCTGCAGCACCACAACATGTTTCCAAGCGCACTCGCCAGGGGGTCCGGGGGCTTTGCCCGTATCATCGTCCCCAGGAAGCACACATTCTTCACCATGCCGCGGCAGGCGTGGCAAAGCGCTTCAGCGCTTCTTGTTTTGGGAGGTGCTCCTTCATTGAGTCATTGAGTCATGTTCAGGCTTTGCTCGCCGCAAAGCCGGCAGCCTGCTTTGAATGGGGGTTCGAACTTGGGACATGCTTGCTTGGAGGAACCTGGGTTGATATGCTATAGATTCTAGATTCTAGATCATGGAAGTATAAAGGACTTCAAGCTTCTATGGAACTTTGGGCGGCTGCGTTGAGATTCCTTTGCTTCATAGCATCCTCATAACACACAACAGCGACGTGGAATGAGGAGACGGGGAAGTGTGAGGAGACGTTCAAACACTTTCCCAGGTAGTGGACAACCGCAAAGCCCTTTTTTGGGGATTGGGCTTCCCCACTCAAGGTTCCGACAGTATCTTCCAGAAAAAACTGAGGGGATTAGAATAGGAGTGCTTGACTGATGTCCTTGCTCAAGACGCATCACGTCAGGGGAATGCCGAGGCCGAAGCCCGAGGCGCGTCGCCCCACTTGGTTCCGTGCGTGGGAACTGTGGATGCTTGATGAGATGCGATGAGATGCCATGAAGGCATCTATCCCAGGAGTCACAAAGGGGTGGTGTTTAGTCTCCAAGTGAGTGGATAATGGGCACTCCTAACCTCCATTAAGCACCCCTTTGTGACTGCTGGTCTAGTTGCAAAAACTGACCAGAGAGAGAGAGAGAGATCCTCCACCCAGGAGTTGCATTGGTCACACGGGATGATTCGGGCCTATAGCTAAGGAAGTACGTGGACCAGCTGCAGGTCACCTTTTTGTGGGGATTCTGGAGGTGTGGGGGTTGGCCCATGGAGTGTCCCACGAAACCTGAACAGATGGAAAAAAAGCAGGCCAGTTCGAGCTAAGTGTCAGAGAGTCGCTAATTAGTTTGTTGCGTGACCTCGATGTCCATTTCGGATCTCCTTTTACACCGTTCCGACCTGAGTGTCAGCGGTGTGGCCGCCTTTCAATTGTCGACAGATGGAACAGATGGAAAAAGGGCCAACCTTTCGGTATCGAACACTCTGAGAGAGAGAGAGAGAGCCAGTTTCACTGCAGAAAAGGTCGATGAATGCCCATCGTCAGAGCCAGGCTCGCTCTTGTCCACGGGTCGTTTTTCTTCCACCGTGGAACCACCAACCTGCCAGGCGCTGCTGGTACTTCGGGCTCCGTGCAGCTGAGCACAGGCGGAACGGAGGTTTCCTCCCGGAAGATGAGTGGTGAATCCCATGCAATGCCCAGACACTCCATGGATGGAAAAAAAAAATGCCTACATTGACCCCTTTTCAACCAGCCCAAGGTACGTAAATTTTTCACATATTCCATTTGTAATGGAGCTGTTTGGACTGTATCCCTGGAGCGACTCTAGAGATCGCCCCTCGCGTGGGCGGCCCCAACCGGGTGTTTGGGGAGAACCGCAGAGGAAGAGAGCGGGCGTGACACGTGGAGCACAGAATGTGGAGCACAGAGCGGGGCCTCCAAAAACACGGTCAATACCACGCGGCGTGATTAGAACAAAACAACAATGGCTTTGAGACCTAGGCGAAATGCATGAAGTGTTCAAAAGCAATCCAAGTAACACAGATTTCATTGCCGTATGAATTTGGCTTTGGCTGTCATTTTGTCCGAACCAAGAGGAACAAGAACAACGACAAGGCAACCAAACAGAAATATACGTAATATATAATATATGTGTGTGTGTATCGTTTTTTTTGACGTAGAAATCAATCAAACTTCTTGTGCCTAGTCTAGCTCCTTACCTTCTTAGAAAGAGCTAAGCCAAACAAAGCAACTTGACCAAGAAAAAGGCCTTGTGAAGACTGTCGCAGCCTTCCTTTTTGGTGCTCAATGTTAAGGCACGTTTGAACGTGTAGAACACCTTAAGCAAGACAGACAGATACAACCTACTGTAGCAATAGAAACACTTATTGAGACAGGACACCAGAATAAATAATGTTGGCTGGATAAAAGTTAATTGATGCTGTTGCAACATGGTCTAGCTCATTAGCTTCTTTAGTAATGCGTACCTATTATTGATTGCTTTCAAGAAGGTAATTAAGCAAATGAAGTAATCCTTGTGAAGGTTGAAGCGGCTTCCTTTCAGTGCTCTAAATGGAATACATTTGAGCATAAACAAGACATACATAACCTTACTGATGCAGCCTTTTGAGACTGCGCCTCACAAAAGCCTAGGTTTTGAGCAGTTGTTTTGCTTCAAATGTTCTGACCAGGCTGGCAAAGGTTTAGAGGGAATATCAAGAAACAACACCAAAAAACGCAACATATATACCCAAACAAAGCATAAACAACAAAAAGCAAACCAATGTTTGGTACAGATCGAAGGCAAAACAACAAAATCCCAATCCTACAGTATCCTCATTTTGTCGCAACCATTGTTTTTGTTGTTTTATAACATGTGTTTTTTGTTTTCCCTCTAGACCTTTGTCGGCCTGGGCTGAACAATTGAAGCAACATGATAGCTAAAAACTTCGGTTTTCCTGAGGTTTCAGCCAAAAGACACTGTAAAGAACACAGTGTTGTTGATCATGTTATGCATTAACAACAAAACATTGAAGCAAACAATGACTCAAAACCTAGGTTTTGGTGATGTGTCAGCCAAAAAAACTATTTAACAACATGTTGTGTTTTTTTTAAATCATTTTCTGCACGAAAAACATCTCTCAGGAACACCAGTTCTGAAAACACCACAACGGTTGAGGTGGGGCATGTTCGATCAGTTTCAGTAGCAAGAAGCTACGAAGCGTAGCATAGCTTCGATAAAGGTCATGCTACGGAAAACGTGAAAATGTCATGCTACGTCACTCCGGTGACGCTGCGGATGCTGTGGCTCCCATCAAGTCCCAGACACGACTCATGGGACTGCCATAGGACTGCCGATCAGGCCAGGGGTGGTGCCAGGGGGGTCAATGGGGCGGCATATATGGCAGTCCCATGGAGCGTCTGGGAGTTGTTCAGGGAAAACCATGTGGGATTTCTACAACGAGCACCTCTCCTCACGCTTCTCAGAGTGCTTGGTCAACATGCAGGAACGAGGCGCGGGCGTCCGCGGGCGATGTCGGCGATGTCCGCGGAGAGGTCCGGTTTGGGAAGTTTCTACCGGGCCCTTTTTTTGCAGAGAAAGCACTTGCAAGGAAGTACCCTCCCTGCAACAAACATGGAAGTGCAAAAACCGCCTGTTTGTATAGGAAAATGGTATTCCAAGGGGCCATGCCATCCACAGCCATAATTGTTCCAAGGAGTGTAGATGGTGGAAAAAACCCAAGGTTGAAACCATCTCCAAAGCTGGTGTGCCAGCTGTTCGGGATGGGGATGTGCCTATGTGCCTTTGAGTAGATGATCTTGAAAAGTTTGCTCAATTGCTGACGTGCAGGTTTCTGTTGGTTTGAACCCAAGGCAGGAACACAGGTCCAACTCTGGAGTCTTTTGTTGAATGACACGGCATTTCATGTGTCGTTTAGTTCCCTAGGCCTCCAAGTACCTTCTGAGAAGGTGTTTGGGGTGGGTGCCAGGAGGGTCCAAAGACCTTCTGAGGAGGTACTTAGAGGTGTAGGGTTTGACTCTCATGTTGTTTTGGAACCATCGATAGCAGCTTCAAAGATGAAGCAAGACGAGAGCAGGGGTTTCCGCGATAAGTTCCATTAGACATGGCCCTGGCTGGTAGTTGATTGATTCGATCTTCCCACTTTCCAACCCTCTAGTTGTCCAAATGAACTTCACTTCAGATCCTGTTCTTTTCCCACCCCCCCACCTTTCCCCTCACTCTATCCTACCTCCATCGGTGAGGGATCTTGCTGGACAGCACCAGCCTGCAGCGCATCGAGCACGACGCCAGCGCTGACTTCCAAAGGCGCCTCGTCCGCGGTGGGCGCTGCCCGTTCCGCGCATGGCACCGGCGGCGGCGTCGTTCGGGGAGGGTTCGGGGGGGTTCGGGACATACGCAGGAGGACGGAGGTGGAAGGGGGGCTGGTGAAGTGGAACTTCACCAGCTGCTTTTGGCTGGTGAATGGGTTGTTGAATGGGTGTTCTGTGCTGTTCGGTGAGTACTGGAAGCAGTGGCGCGACTGAGCGGTCAAGGTCCCCTCCACAGTATGAACAGGAGGGTTGGCAGGTGTTTCCCCCACGTTTTGCTGATCGTCCTTCTTGCTATGTCCAATATTGCCAGTCAGAACCGTCCATGGGTCGACTGAACTGAACTGAACTGATTTATGTCACATATCCTGCACTTTTCATGCACGTCCACTGACAGCTGACCCCCGGCTATTGCGTGCCTTCGGCTCATTCCAGTGCCGACCTTGGCCAATCTCCCCAGAACCGTCCGCCACCGGCACGAATACCTCCGCACGGAGCTCCGTCCGGCAGGTTGCGGCAACGCTTCCAGGAGCTCCTCCGCGAGATCCGGGATCCCCAGGGCCACTGTTTGAACCCCGATGCGGCCGCTTGGCGAAGGGCGCGAATCGGCACCAGGGCAGCGGAAGCGTGAGAGATCACGTGTGTTTTCTGTTGGTTTATAGTTGCTTTATTTGTTGTTTTCTACCTTTTTGTTGTTGGGGGGGGGGCGGTGGTATGCTTAGCGATAAACACACGCTTTATAGGTTCGAGTGAATTGGATTGTTTCAACTTGAGTCAAATTTGCTTTTGAACTGTGAACTTCAATGTTTGGCAGAGCCAAAAGCCCACAGAGGAGGCAAAAGCCCCTCTCGCTTCAAAAAGATGCACGTAGATCCTTCCTTAGTCAGACAAAAATGACATGTTTTTGGTGAGTATAGAGTGATTAATTCCAGGAGCTGCGTAGTTATTGTTTAAATCAAGCACCAGTGAGCATCAGAGTTTGGTTGGTGTGGGCCCTTGTTCGGCTCTTACCAGCCGCTCATTATACCCCTCCGGATCTTTTGCTGCATGTATATCCAGAAGACAAAAGAACCTTTTCACTGCAGGATTGGATACTGAATGGTGGTGGTTTGGTCTCCCACCGGCCCATATCTTTAAAGCCGGTGGGGTGGTATACTCTCGACCCCTGGCATGCACCATCTCCAACCATCTTCCTTTCACGGAGGGCCGGTGAGGAGCCGAGTTGGCCAACACCGAGCTCGTCCGAGCTCGCACGAGCGACCGGACGTAGGTCAGGACGGTGCTCGGACGTAGGTCCGGACGGACCGAGCTCGGCCTCGACATTCTGGTTGAGGTCAATGTGAGTCCCAGACACTCCATGGGACTGCCGTATATGCCGATCAGTTGGGATGGTGCCAGGGGGGTCAATGGGGCGGCATATATTGCAGTTTCATGGAGTGTCTGGGAGTTGTTTTCTTTGAAATAGCAGATTTGTACCCTCCCGATCTAACATGGAACCGGAGAATTGATCGGTGGCTTCGACCAGTTTTTGCTACTACCGCCACGTGGTTTTGGGGTTCCATGTGAATTTGCAGGGGAAGTAGGTCACATGTTGATACCAACGCTGCCGGTGATATCCTGACATCTTTAGTCAACCAAGCAATCGTTGCCGAAGAAACCAGCTCGGTTCAACCGCACAAGGACAAGATGAACCTCAACAGCAGTATGCAGCTTCGGACGCTGCTTTTTGGAGGCCGGGTGGTATGGCTTTGTGACCAATGGTCTTTAGGCCATGGTCACAAGCAAGGGGGAGACCTTGAAAGGAATTGAAAGGAGAGAACATGCAAAAATAGTAACAAGGACGCTACTAGGTGGAGGCCATTGCTATTAGGTTGGAGGCCATCGCTACTAGTAACAAGAGTCTTCTCCCTACTAGCAGCGATGGCCTCCAACCCAATAGCAATGGCCTCCACCTAGTAGCGATGGCCTCCAACCTAGTAGCTTCTTGCTACTTGTTACTAGTAGCTTCTTGTTCTTAGTGGCAATGGCCTCCACCTAGATGGCCTCCACCTAGTAGCGTCCTTGTTACTATTCTTACTTTCCAAGGTGCAAATCTGTGTAAGTGCGGCTGACGGACTGGCCGGAGGTGCTGCTGAGATGGATTTTGGGATAAATAAGGATGTCATTCTGGTCCTTCAGCTTTTTGACATGTTTGGGACCATGTGTGAGTTCCTTTCAACATATCAACATTAACCTTAAATCATCATGAGGTGGCAATCCAACCCCCAACGACCCAGCACCTTGCCACTCATATTTCTGCTACTAACTAAGACCTAGGTGTCAGGGCCAAAGGTGTGTGCCGGGGGATGGTTGTCATATGTTGCCATAAAGCCTTAAACCAAAGCTTCGGTGTTCTCATTTACGTTGCAAGCTCTTAGTACCAACTGCAATGATGAATCATCCTCAGGCAGATGGGAATCTACAATTTTAATCCCAGACTTGGTTTAAGGGAACATCTACAGGAAAGCCATATTGTCTTAGGGGTGAAAACAAAGGTTTCCTGCATATGTTCCGTGAACCAAATCATGGATTTAAGCGGCTGTTTCTTCTTCAGGGTTGGCGGCAGGGGCTGCAAATGTCAGGCAGCGCAATGCAGAAATGGTTGCCATAGCAACTTGATTCGCCTGCAGGTCCCATTTGTGGCTTTTAACTTGCTTTTTGGTAGGTGTATGGTCTTTGAGTCTCCCAACATTGAGAGACTATCTAGACATATCTAAACGAACCTGACAAAATGCAAAGAATCTGCGAACTCACTTTCAGTCGATGCTCGCGAAGATGTTGTTAAGAGCTGTTTTTGCCCTCGGTGTTTCCGTCGAGGGGCGAAAAAAGGGTTCAGGTCTCCGTTCGCGTCGCGTTGCTTGGATTCGACCGTCCCCGACCGCGGGAGCCGCGCCGCAGTTCGAGTCCGTGGGTTTTGAACGATGGTCTTCCCTTGGTCCTGGAGCCAACCAAACTCCATCCAAACCTCTCTTTGGCTTGAACCGTTCCCACAAGAACTGATGTGATATCCTTTGTTGGTGGTTTTCGACCTCATGATGGTGCTTCCTCACATCACTTGATGACCGATCTCCTGATCAACCCAAATCGCGTCACCCTCAGCTGGCGCCGCCCGCAGCTGTATGACCTCGGCGCCGGGCCTAGCCATCCGACCGCCATGCGAGCCGTCCTTGGAGCGCTCCTGTCTCGGGCCGCGTGGGGCTCCGATTTGGCCTACGTGGTGCGGCCCGAGGGATGTGCCTATGACAGGCGCCGTGAACTCGCCGCCCGCGGGGGGGGGGGGGCGATGGCTGGTTTGGCCAGGGCCCATGGCACCCCATGGTCGAACAGGTGATTGGGATTCGGCTTCCAGGAGTCCACCAGGCCCCATCATCTCAGCGGTCACGTCCGACCGGCTTCAGCTAGGCAAAGGATGTGCTTATGACTTATGACTCACCCCTGGCAGGCCATCGATGGATAAGGTATGATAAGGTGTTCAAGCTCGATGGTATATAATGAATGTTCCGCCACAAAGGGGCTGCGACTGGAGAAGAAAGAACCGATTCCAACAAGTCTCTTTAAGTGTTCATGGAATGTCATGGAACAGTTTGGCCGAACTTTGGCCATGCTTCCGCTTCCACTTCTCACGCGGCGTCACCACCCAACAAATTTCCAGTGTTTGGCGAAATCGCCTTGCATGGGTGCCTGGCAGTGGGTGATGACCTCATCTGTCTTTGCAGAAAGAATTGCTCGCGAAAGAGAGAGAGAGAGAGATTGGGAGAGAGTCCAGGAAATTCAAGGTCTCGAAAATGAGTTGTGGAACCTTTGACTTGAATCAGCCACTATACATACATATAATGACACCGCTGGTTTTTTTCCTTTTTCGGAAGAGAGAACCACGTCCATCCGTCGACCTCGTTTCTCGGCCACGGTGGACTCCTCTCGTCCGGTGCCCTGCAGGTGGACGGACCCCTGTCGTGGGGGCGCTTCGTGCCAAACGTTGGCGGAGGCTGGTCTCACCTGTAGTGGGATCATGGACATCGACGGCACCTTGGCTTCGACCGACCCCGTCGCTGACACCTTGGTGTACGTTGGGTTCGATCCTTTAGGGGTTGGAACGGCGGAGAAAGATGCGATCGATGCCGAGACATCTGAATGAAGAACCAGAGTTTTTTGCGGCGCATGCAATGCTTTCACGTGGTTTCTAGAGTAGATGGAAACCCCAAGAGGTCTTTTAGATGGGGATCCAGATTTATAAACCACCTTTTGGTGATTGTGCCATGATATAAATCCTGTTTTGTTTGGGAAGTGGGCAACACTCCAAAAAAACAGATGTCCCTCCTCACTGTGCTCCATAAATGCACACGAGGCTTTTGGGCGACCGAGCCGTTGTTTCGAGCCAAGTCTACCGGGTCTTAGTCGCCTGAGCTGTGGCAATTGTGCCCGAAAGAGGGACACCATGCTCTACATCAGTGGACATCTTGCTCTACCCTGGTGAAGGTGAAGATGTTCGACCATGTTCTACCTGCATGTTGGGTCCTGGGGTGGTTTAGCTGAGGGCGCAGCGATCATAGAGGGTCTATAGTATACTATAGGTATATCTCCGTTTCCGTTTTCGGTTGGAGAGAATCAAAACTCCAACTCCCTCGAGAGGAGGATGCCAACGACTTTAGATGGGAATCTATCCCCTACACCGACCTCCTAGTTCTTTGGATCCTCCAAACCCACCACCCACTGGAGGTCGGATCATAGGCCAATTTTTATACACCCGGTCGCCCTACAGCAAGACTCCAAGACCAATCAAACGGTTGACCTGGCATTTTGTAGTCTCAAACGTCTTTGGTATAACCGCTTGCCTGGTAAAATGCTCTATTTTTAAGTCCCAATAGGTCTACCCTCGATGTTCCGTACCTGGTCGCGCTCGCGCAAGCGCCGCTTGCCGAGGATGTGACACCGCTTGCAGCTACCCCTGCTGCGTGGCGACCACCACCCTCACGCACACGGAGACGATGACCCATACGACGGTCACTTGGGGTCTAAGAAAGCTAGAAGAAGAAGCCTTCTAAGAAAGGCCCACAAAATGGGCGACGCAGATGGGGGGGATCTAACATGTCGACATACGTGGATTCGGGGGTTCTGTTGCCACCCTATGCTGGGATGAACCGTGGGTTTATAAAGGTTATTAGGCATTGTAAGTGTATTTATAACATACTTATATATACCGTATAAGTATGGTATAACATGGTATACTATATATATAGTGTAGCTTCTACAACACTTAGCAACTTGAAGTCATAAGTTCTATAAACTTTATAACTACTTAACATCATTCATGCTAAGTTTTACAACCATTTAGCATACTTATAAGTAGTTATAGGTAGTTATAACAGCTTACAACCAGTTTTGTAAATGGTTATAACTTGGACCTGTAAATGTTATAACACTTGCAACTCACCTCATAACTTCTAGGAACTGTTATAAACCCACAGTTCATCCTAGTGCCACCCTTCTTCCGCAGGGTCCGATCAAACAGCTACCGCTCGCCGAGCATCGGTCCATCTGGTCTCGAATCCGTGATCGGTCCATCAAGGCGCCGACAGCATGGCCAACTAAGACCAGGGAGGGTTCTGCATGAGGTTGTCAACTAATTGCGCGACTACATGTCTGCGTATGTTGAAAGCAGCCGACAGGAACCAATAGGTGCGTCCTGATATAGAGCTTAGGGACTGCAGTTGAAGACGGAGAAACACCGATGCACCCTGTCCTCGGAGTCGTGAGTTGTGGCCGTGATCTCCTTGAGCATTGTTTGGGCGGAGGGTATGCATGCACTTGTGTACTTCCAGTAGGTCAAGAGCCCCTCTCAAAGGACCGTGACCATTTCAGAGAGCTGGACCTACTCCGAACTGCTTCCGATGCAAACGACCCGCCAACTGGTCCGGTCGGACCCGTTTTGAACGTCCTCACCCCCAAGGCTAAGGGCTCCAAGCAGCCCTCCGATTTCCCCTCAGGTTCGGGTGTTATGCCAACCCGCCCCTGGCCACACATCCACCCCTGGGCCTATTGCCCTATCTTCGTTTCATGGAGGTTCTAGGCGGCCGATGGCGGACGAACGGGCCATCGCCACGACCGTCGAGCCCGGCCGCCTCAAGGCGACCGCCACCGCCACGCACACGGAGACCGGCGACTCCGACGGCAAGGAATCGGTGGAGAAAGTGATGGAGCGCAGGTATGGTCCTGGCGGTATGGCCCTGGTCAATCCAAGAGATGGAAGGTTAGAGGTTGACCTGATCATGTTCGGAAACTGAGGGCGGGGGTCCGTATGGTCCTGGTATGGGGACTATATCTTGTGCGGTCCTTATGGCATATTGGCCCTGAGGATGGTCAGTCGTGGATCCCAAAGTGGCTGAGAATGGTCGAGAAGCGGTGCTAAATCGCTCGGACATCCCGATGCTCCTGAACCGGAGGGTCGTAGAGACTCCCAACTGAGGATTGAAGGTTCCGTCGCTTGGGGTCCCAAGCTTTGCTGTCAGGGGGGTTGAAAAGTCGGACAAGTGCTATCTCCCTTGACCGTTTCTATACTCAATAGATGAGAAGTCCATTAGCATTAGCACCAACCAGTCAGGATGCGTTTCTACTATGGAAGACACAGTCTATAGGGCCTTTGGAGGTTCTACAATCCACCCAAGCTGGGTCGTGCAGGTCACTCATTCCACTTCCTACGTTCAGGTTATATAAGTGACCGGGTCACGTTCAGGTTAACCCGCGCTTTGTTCCGGGTACCCAACTGACGCCGACTCCGTGGGAAGAACACCGGTCCGACTCCCCGGTCGCACCCGCGAGAAGGGACTGGTACCGATCGAGATACTTGAGTCCCTAGAGATCTCTGGAGTGATGCGTTTTCTACTATATTAAAAGTATATATTATAGCTAGGTATATATTATATAGATATAAAGCGTATAAAGTATCCTATTGAGTTTGATCCATCGAGCAAAAATGTTTACTGATTACATGGATTTCGAAGCAAGTGATTCATGGGCCTGTGTATCAAGTCAAGCTTCATGCAGTCGTCACTTAGGATAAATACTGGGAGCAAGAGAATGATGACTATAGAACTTATATCAGGCATCCTTTTCTATCTCTGTTGGTCCAGGTCGTATTGGTTGAAAACTATGTGTTGATTCATGTTGTGAAAAAAGGGGCTTTAGACAATTCAATGTTGAAAATGTGCTGGAAACATGTGGTATGTAAATTTCTATGTTGTGAGTGAGTGATGTTAAAGGGGCTTGGGGAAATTTCAATGTTGTAAAATATGATAAAATATGTTACAATATGGTGGAACATTTGGTATGGGATGTTGGTGAAGATAGGAGTTGGAAATTTCAACGGTCTAGGTTGTCATCGAAATCTGGAAAGTGTATAACCCCTGTGACACCTATGTGAATGTGTATGTGTGTGTGTGCGTTTCTCTCTCAAATGAATGCCCACCCACTGTCCCATCTCCAAAACCACGAAGGCAGAGCATCATCTGCAAATTTTGACTCCCCGGTCAACGCATCTTACTGTAGATTGTTGAGTCTCTATAGAACCTAATTAATTCTGAACTTATTGTTGTTTTTGTTTGGGAAGGCGCTGGCCAGAAAAATAAAAGTATGTTGGGCGATGATTTCAAGGCCTCTCCACACCAACATGCTTGGCATCTCCCCAATGCAACTGCACCATTCCAAACTGCAGCAGTGCACTCTTTTCTTGGCAACGAATCCATATTCTTGTGCCTTCAGGAGGTCCATCACGGAGCCGAGTAGAGAACTATCCCTGCAAGAGACCCCAAAGAGTGTTGACAAGAAGAAGACAAGGGTGAATAAGCCAATAGTGTGACCACACCTTCTTTGGGGAAAAAAGACTACTATAAAGGTGTCACATGATCTTCACCAGGGTGCTCCTCTTCAAACATCCGTACACCTCGGGCGGACCAACGCGCGCGGACCACGTGACCTGGCGTTTTCTTCGCGCTGCAGTGACCACCGCGACGATCACCGCCACGCTCACCGACACAGCCACGGCCACAAGCACGGAGACCGTCGTGGAAACCACGGCAGTTGTGGCCACCACGGAGACCGTTGTGGCGACCACGACTGAGGACGCCCGACACCACGACGGGACGGGAAGAAAGAGATGAACACAGATAAAACAGACACCTTCGCCCATGGGAGTTTGAGCATTTCCTTCCTTCTATGGGTTTTAGGACTGGCTATTGCCTCTTTCTCTGTGAGGCTCCACAGCTATTCTTATGATATGTTCGAACCATCTTAAAATGCTAATTAAATGTTACACCCGGGAAGATTCACATGGAACCTGGACCTTGGAAAGACGACTTTCCTCTACAAACCGGGCGTGATTTTCAGGTTCCATGTTAATCTTCCAGAGTGTAATATTAACATGTTCCTATAATTTGGGATGGTTGACGGTTGGGGAGTCCATGTTGACATCTCATGCCATAGACCGTATACCCTGAAACAAGGACCTTCAGGCTTTTAGACCACGGTCTGCCAAGTCAACCAACATGACTGACAGGAAGTTGGGCCCTAGTTTGGATAGTGGATCCTCCAAATTAGGTGTCACTCAGTCAGGTAGTCCCTAGAGCTCCAGTCGTACCTTCGTTAAGGAGGTGGGACTTGGGTGCCATTGTGGGGTCCACTCGTACCGAACCTGAAGAGATACCACTGGAGCCGGGAGTAGGATGGAGTAGGCATAATAGGAATATATGATATACCCAGACGCTCCATGGGACTGCCATAGGACTGCCGATCAATTGACCCCTCTGGCACCACCACCCCCAACCCCGGAACTGATCGGCAGTCCGGACTGGCAGTCCCAAACGGGTCGCGTCTGGGATAGGAATATATGGTGGTTTGGCTCGTGTTCGAAGCCGCACGTTTCGCTTGTTTCGCTTGTGACCGAGCCCTGGGACATCACCAGGTCCGACGGAGACCCGAGTTGAGCACCCAACGGCGGACGGACCGAGCACGTACTTGGATCGGGACGAAGGGGCTCTTCCACAAGTATATGCTTGGACTTTTGCGTTTTGCCGCACTACATGTGCAACCTTCATCCGAGCTGACAAACATGCTAGCCTAGGCTGCTAGGCTGCCTGAGACGATGTGTACTCTTTGACTCTTCCACAAGAAGTGTAGCAAGGGCCGTGTACGATCTCCTGATCTCTTGATGCGCACCCGTGTGGCCTACGATCTTGGGGAACGAGGGCGTGTTATCCCCACAACAGGAACCACAACAACAATCGGAATCCTTGTGTAGCGGACAAAAGTTCCCAGACACTCCATGATATATGCCTACACTGACCCCCCAAACCACCCCAATGTAGGCATATATATGGCATACATGGAGTGTCTGGGATTGTCTTCCCCAGAAGGGAGACGGCCCTTCATAAAAAAACGTGGCCTCGTCTTTTTCTGCACAGCCTCACCGCTTTTTCGCACCTCGTCCCTCCGTCGACGGAGGGTGAAAAAGACGTCCGAAGAAACACCCGCTTTTTGGGGTCGTTCAACCGTCCTGATCTTCCACAGCTTCTCACAGGTTTCGTCCACTCGATGTTCGTGGGATGAGGGATGTTTGCACGTCCGAAACAAGCGCACCCTTATGATCCCTTAGATGTGTTTCTTTTCGGGTGCGCCAGGAAATCGAGACATCCAAATGATTTGTTTACCTGACACTCCATGTATGCCATATATGCTTACATTCGGGTGGTTTGGGGGGTCAATGTAGGCATATATGGCATACATGGAGCGTTTAAGGGATTGCATTACTGTATCCAAGTTCGGTAGGTATCTTCCAAGTGGAAGTCACTGGCACCACCAGGAGCCCACCAGCAGCAGCACCACCACGGCTGCAAGCACGGCTGCGAGCACTACCACGTCCGAGCACCACGAACATCATGTGGTGACGAACTCCACGACGGAAGAAGTGGAGACGACGGCAGGGCCAAGCACACGGGGGCCAGCTGCAGTGATGTGGCCTGGCCATGCCAAAAGCGCAGGTTTTCATGTGGCATGCGACGGCGAAGCAAGTTACACCAGAAAGTCCAAACTAACGTCTAAACGTCATGACTTCGGACTTTGCCGCGTGTGTTTTTAGATTCAGGCGTTGGTTCCTGTGTATCCTACATGTTCGATCATCCTACATGTTACATGTTTGTTCCATCGGCTTCGCGGGGGCCAAACTTCGAACTAGGTCTACCCCTTGCGGCCAGGTCTACACATCCCAGAATCAATGGAAGATTTAGACTTCATGGTTTTAGAGTTGTTGTTTATATTTTTGGAAATATCTTTTCTTCACCGTTTGGTCTATTTTCTGGGGTGATCATCACTCTCTCCTGCAGACCGTGTGGTCGGTCCACCTGGGGGGGGGGTCATTGCGGCGGGTCACTCTCTGGTCTTCTCGCCAGGAAGCTGACGATGCGGGTGGAGGTCCGGGACACGGAGGATTACCGGGAGTACTTCGAGGACCCCCTCATCCGTCAGGCAGCTCGGGACACAACGCCGCGCAGCTTGAGCGAGACCGTGGGAAGCCTTGAGACACGTCTCGGTTTTTGGAGAGTCAGAGTGCCAGCCAGGATCATCAGTATCAAGCAGGGTTTGGCCCGTTTGTTTGGGGTGTTTAATAGCCAGCAGCCCTTGGAGGGCCCAGTCTGGGATGGCGTTTCTGACGTGTCTTATTAAACTTGGCTCTGGGCGGGCTAAGAGTTCAGAAAATCATTGTGTTAGCGGATTGCAAATCCCAAAATAGTCGAAATGGGAAAGTTGTGATTGACCCGCAATCCAGAATCATGACCTTGACTATAGTGAAGAAACCACATGCAGACTTCTGAGTGTGAACATTGGGTTTTGTGGGTTTGTTGCGTGCTCTAAATTTGAGGCCACAGTGCATATTAAGGAGAATGGCACAAACAATCGCTCTAAGCAAGCCGCCTTTGTTCAGTAACTTCAATCCCTCCATGCAGGGCCTTCCCAATCCGAATCTTCCATCATTTGTCGCTCACTCCATTGGTTACCCATCACCGGCTTCCTTTGTTTCACCCCGTTTGTTGTTTACCTAATGCCCTCTCTCCCGGCCCTGTGCTGGTCGAGGCCTACATCAACGTGATGTCGGAAGTGTCCACCGTGCCGAAGGAGCAGCTGCAGGTTGAAATGTCCAGTGAAGAGTTGGGCTACATCATGGTCACCTACATCATGCCACCCGGCGAACAGCCCCTTCTTGAAAAGCCGGTGTTTGGGACGTGCTGATGAAACACATGGTCCATGCCACTTGATGTCGACAGGGTCTTCAGATGACTTGGGTCTACACTCGAAAGAAAGATCCATGGTGACGTGGATCCATGGAACCTTTAAGGCCCTTGGATGACATGGCCTTCTAAATACCAAGCAGAAAGTGAGAAAGTCCCCTTCTTGGGGAACCTATGCTCACCTATGCTTCACCTATGCTTCTAACACTGCCTGGCAGTGTTTTGGTGTGTTTCTTAAATCCGGGCCCCATCACGAGCCGAAGACTGAGGACCATCCCATACAGCGACGGCGAACCCAGTTTGCCCATGGCTGAAATCCAAGAGAAGCTCAGCTCCATCGACATGCCGACCTTCAATGAATTGCCCCTTGGGAGAAACGTGTCGAAAACAAGACGGTCCCGGCGGTAACAGCCTCAAAACTGGAGGGCCCAGGGACCCCCCCCCTCCATTTGGATTGAAACACTTTTTCATAGTGTTGGTATGTTTTTTGTTTCACTCATCATCGGTCAAAACACTATGACACTTTCTTATGTTTGTCACGGTTGTCCCATTCCCGGCGTCGGTACTGTCTTGTTCGTCTCCCGTGGCTCTTGCGGGCCCGTATCACTTGGTGGACGAACCAGACGAAGCATTCCACTCCGAACTCACATGCTTTCGTGCATGGCATCCCCCTGTTTTGTCTTCGGAACATGGTAGACCCGAACGAAAGGGGCCATGCCATCCACGTAACCAGACAAAAGCGCGACCAGCGATCGCCACTTGCTACCTCTTGGGTTGGGGGGTCATCGATGACCCATGTGCTCCTATACTGGTTTCCTGGCCGGGCTCAGGCAAGCATGGGTGATCTGGTGATTGTCCACTGGCGCCCCTTTTTGTTCCAAGAACATAGGCTGTCCCGCCATCGCCAATAGGTGAAGCATGGTCAGAAATGACGGTGTTTTCTGTGGAAAGTGCCGAGGGTTGGCCCTAGAACCCGCCAAGCGCACTAGTTAGCCTGACCTTGTTTTGCATATGCCTCTCCATGTTGCGACAGCTGACCTCAGGTTGGACAAAGAGATTAGTGAAGTCGCGGGCGAGGGGAAGTACCAGCAGAAGGTGGTGAGCTCCTTGCCAATAAAGGACGAGTCAGGGGTGCAAGATAGAACTGCACCTATAGAAACTAGGATTGTTGGGGAAGATGCGGCCTTTAGCTGAAGCTTTTTCCTGTGGCAAGCCCTCAGGCAGGAGGAAAGGATAAACACCCTTTCTCCAACATATCGATGGAGGCTGAGAAAAAGGATATTCCTTATTCTTTGGCCTTCGGAAGGTCAGGGAGTGGCACCCCGAGTTGCAGAGGGGGTGGGACACTGAAACCGCCGTGAAATCGATTTGTCGAGCCACACGAGGCGTCAATGTGGCAGATGTGCCCGTCGCTCGGACGCAAAGAGTGTCGGGTAGGTTGAAGGATGCCAGCAAGATGGACAAGACTTCTGGGGTGGATCTGTTTGTACTTATATACCTGTTTGTTTGCGTTTGTTTAGTGCGTTTGTTTGCACTACCTGTTTGGGTTTGTCGCTCGCGTCATGCCACAACTTTTCTGCGCAAAGTGCCAAGTGCCCCCCGAAAAATGAAGTGGATTGATATTCAGGGATTTTCCTTTAGCACTACTTAGGATGGATGCAGAGATCACAATGCTTTGAATTCTGAACACATTTCAACATGTTCTTTTCTGGTCCCTGTTCTTGCAGCTCAAATCACAAAAAGCATCTCTTGAGATTGGTGTGCAGCCGCGCCAAACAGTTCCCACCCAGTCCCTTCCCAGTTCCAGGTGAATGCCGCATTTCAACACCATGTGCCCAAAGCAGTCTTAAGCGCTTTCGCAGTGCTTCTCGCTGGTCTTTGAGCATCATAGTGACTACATCTCTCGGATGGCAGGTGGCGCGCACACCCCTTTGGACGCACGCTACGAACGACTAAAAGTCACAAGCAGTTTGGGCCACTTGGTCTAAATGCTAACATGCTAAACAGGTTAAAACTGGTAAATGTGTCAAGTTGGACGCGTCAGAAGGGTAGATTTTCTGCTGCCTTCCTTGCCTTTTTCTCCATGACGGAGCGGCTGGGCCAATGGTAGATGGTTCTGCGTCTCTGAAGTGTCATCCGACGTGCACCGTAAGGCACTCGAAGCAACGCGACTCATGACAGAACCACGACAGGACTGACGATAGGTATTTGATGGACTTGACAGTTCTTGCGCTGGAGATCCTTAATTAGAGGTGTGTGTGGGGTGTGTGTGTGTGTGGGTTCGTCAAGAAACTTCTAAAAAGCTGTGGCTTCCCTTCAGAAAGTGCCCAGGTGGGACAGAAAAAAGGTCAGAGGCCGAGCTTTTTGCGTGCATGCATGTGTTTTTTCCCATGATTTTGGATCCAGAGCTTGGGTGCCCTGCCGAATGCTTGACCGCTCCAGCATAGATGAATTGTTTGTCTCACCCAGAGGGCGTCCGCTGCTCAGAATGACCGTGGTCGTCCTCGATTTCGTTGGCTGGGTGTGCCGCAGCCGCTTTCAAGAAGATTTGGTGAATGGCCTACGAGGAAGTACTGTATTTGGAGATTGATGGTTGGCATGCAATGCATGTCCAGAGTCAGTAGTAGCAAGAAGCTATACTAGGAGGAGGCCAGCGCTATCAGGTTGGAGGCCATCGCTATTAGTAACAAGTAACAAAGGGCATTGCTACTAGTAGCAAGGACGCTACTATAGTAATAGTAGCTCCTGGCCTTACTACTAGTAGCACGAAGCTACTAGTTTCAGATTCCACGCCTTTGGCGGCTCAGAGTTCCATGCCAACATGCACAGCCCACCCGCACGATCGCAGGTCGTCGGCGGTAGCATGTTCAACACGATGATGATCGCAGGCCGTCAGCGGTGTGCACAGGCTGCGGAGCACCCAGCCTGCTAATGTGGCCAGACTCGATTCAAACTTCGCTTAAGCAGTGACAAAAAAGGTGTCCAGGGAACCGGCGAAGCACCGCGGGCTCGGGGCTCGGCTCGTGCGTCATTAATATTGAAAGGGAAGAGATCGACACTTTTGGGGGCGATGGACGTGGAGAATTGGCGATCTTGTGTGTCACCTCGTAGGTGTGGTCCTCTTTAAACCGATTCTATTCTGCACCAGGCAGTTGCAGAATCCGATTCCAAAGTTCTGCCAGGGTGAGGAATTCGATGACGTCCGGACACGACAAACATCTCCGAGAGAATTGGCCACGGATCGCAACGAACCGGACAGGCACCAAGAACCGGGCAAGCGACGAAGAGCTGGAGGCTGAAACGTCAAAAGCGGGCTGAGGGACGAACAACCTATGGTTTTCTATGATTTTACCGATATATACAAGTCACTTGACACTCGATTTGAGAGGAACACGTCATATTTTGGGGTGGCTGCTTTCATTTGCTTTCCAACTTACGCCAATCACCTAGCAGGCTGTTTTTCACTGAAGCATTTGGAAGGAGCTGTTTTCGTGCCCGTGAATGGAGTGGGAACGCAATTTGGCGATGCCGGTGGGTGTGCCCCGCAGGAAGGAAGAGAGAGAGAGAGAGAGCCAGCGAGCCCTTTGCGATGCCACATTTGTGCCATCGTTTGTTCACGAGCTGGTGATCCAATTGAGCGATGCAAGCTCGCCTGTTTCGGGCTGCGGCGGGTTTCCCCTTCAGCCCGATTTGACCCGAACGTCCGCCTCTCCTCGAACAGCGTCCGCCACGTCCGCCAGGTCAGCAGGAGCTTCCCAGTCTCCAAGGACTCCATAGAGGACGGACCGAAGATCCGCCAAGCGAAGAGCGGTCGAACATGAGGAGATGGGATGGGTAGGCTGTTCGTGGTTTTGGTCTACGTCCCAAACCTGGAAGAGGAGGTCGAAATAGGTCGCCTGGGAGGTCTCCCTCATACACACCCATTCTGATCCATGAAAAGGCGTTTCCGAGAGACGACCAGTCTTGGTCAACGGCGCCACTGAGTTTTTCACCGCAACGTGTCTCATTTGAAGCTTGTTGACTGAAACTGGTTTCGTTGACCTGCAGGCTGGTATCAAGCAGGGGGGCTGAGTTTTGCCGAAGGTCCAAGTGAGCTGAAGAATGGACAACGGATATAGACTTCAGATCCAAGCCGCTTGAATGTCGTATATATAGAAGATCATAGAATATCTGTTTTTCCCCACCCCAGGCACAATGTATATATAAGGTCATAGTGCATTCGCCCAGGGCAACCATAAGCTTTGCAGTACAATGTGTTTGCTCGGCGTTTTTGTTGGACCAGAAGGACCCATCGGCAGTACAGCACACCGGGTCCACCCTCCACCTCCACTGGTGGTTCTACCCGACTGGTTCCGCCCCCAGTTCACGGCCTCCACCTAAGGCATTCCAAGCGCTTCGAGCTGAACAGCTGGCGCTTGACGCCAGGACGGGACGTCCCGGGGTGAGCGACTCGCGAAAATTCCACCAAAAGTTCGCCGAGACGAAGGTGAAAGGAAGGATATGTTTTTTTTGGGGGGTGTGCATGTGGAAAGAAGAGAGCCGTGTTAGCTGTTTCGGTTTGCTTGTTGGGTGGTTTTTGATCTTCTTGAACCTTAAGAGGTTGAAGCAGAATTGGAACATGTTGTCCAAGGTGAATTCTAGATTGCAATTTCTTATTGTGGCGTTCTCAATGGAATATTTGGTCTCCGAGGCAGTCTTGGGTCCAATAATTAGTTGCATTGTCCGCCATGGTTTCTTCATGTCTCTTCATAGTGGCCAGCTTGACTCACACACTTCCAGGTGTCAAGCCAATGGACAGGACCATGGCATTATGGGGACGGATATGTTTTAAAAGAAGCTACGTTCGGGGCTCCTGGCATCGCTACGAACGGAGCGTTCGGACGCTAGCTAATCGGGGCGACCCCTGGCCTTACTAGGAACGTTCGGATGCTACGAAACGGAACCAAATGCTACTCCAGCAGTCACAAAGGGGTGCTATCCATGGAGGTTAGGAGTGCCCAGCTACTCCACTCACTTGGAGACTAAACACCACCCCTTTGTGACTCCTGGCTATTTCTTCGTAGCCTGTGAAACTTCGGTCGCGACTCGACGCTGCCTCCCGCCTCGCTTCATCGCCCACCGCTTTGCCCGTCAGGGCGCAATCGGAAGTTTGTGACGGCCAAGGGCTGGCCTTCCACATGCAAGGCCGGTCCTTCCGTGGTTCGGGGTGTTCGGAGTTCGGCGGACGGGGTCGAAGGAGGGAAGTCGGAAGTCGGTCTCAGGGGATGGACCGGGGCCAGTCCTTTCAATGGACGGCGTGACGGTGATGTTTTCGTTGGTTGGTTCTACGCATTTGAGGTCGTCAGCACGTGACACAGATCACAACATGTCACAAGCCTCACTCAATTATAGGCACAGAAGCATGATTCATTGATTTTGGTCTTAATGCCAGACACGACTAATGGGACTGCCATAGGACTGCCGAGAAACGGCCAGGGGTGGTGGTTTTAGGGGTCAATGGGGCGGCAGTCCTATGGCAGTCCCATTGGTCGTGTGTGGGAATTGTAATTCTCATGAAACATTACATAGATTCCTAGGTGCGACTGAGAGACCAACCTGGATGAATCATGCAGCCTTTTTGACGATTGACGACCAATTAGACCCATCGTGCCAACCCGAACGGCTGAACCAGCTGTGAAAAACCATGTACGCCTAGCTGTTCTTCGAACGGCTGGTCGACACTGTGCTCCCATGTATGTTATATAGTATAACGAAGACCGGCCATGCCCGGACATGCCGTGTCGAACATGACATGACCGTGCTGTTTTTTAAACGCACCTGAGGGACGTTTGACCGTCAGATGCGAGATCGTGGATCACCGAGAGGCTGCACCCTTTTTGGAGAACCAACCGTCTCAAATGCAGGATTTGGGTCAAACGTTTTTCTGTTTGACACATTTCCTCAGCTCAATGTTAAAGTTAAAGAGGGAGCGCGAGGGTATACATGGGTTTGTTCTTCCAGTGGTGCAGGATTTTTGTCTATTAACCGTATGAACAATTCTGGAACTGAGCTTTAGGCAGTTGATTACAGTCTCAGTTGCAGTCTCTTTTGAATATGTGGGACTTCTGCGTTACTAGTAACAAGAAACTACTATAGGTTGGAGGCCATCGCTACTAGGGTGGAGGCCATCACTACTATAGAAGCTTCCGAATGTTTGGTATTGAATTTATACCAGGACCCACAAGGGGTGGCTAATGGACACCCCTTAACCTCTAAGGAGCTATAATTAGACACCCCTTAGGGGGTCCTGGTAGAGGCCGTTCACGGGGCAGCCTCAAATCGACCAGCCCTCCGGTAGTGCGGAGCGTTGCGACTCAAAGCCACGAACCGTTTGGCCGTTCGCGACCAATAGGCCGGCGAAGCGTCTCTGGAAGTTGGTTGGTGTCGTTTTCTGGGAGCAAACCTGATACGAGACATTTCATTATATATATATATATTATATATATATAGTTGCATTCAATGGCTTATTTGTGTATCCCTTTTGCCATCTACGATGGAAGTGGTTCCTGTTCTTGACCGTGCCTATTTTCAGGGGAGCCATTCGAAGGGCACCGCTGTTTTCTGTCCTAAAGAACATTCACAAGGCTGGGGAACGTTCTTCTTTGGCACGGTTGCTTCACCCCAGGATGCTCTTGAAGCGCTGTTGAATGATGAGGACAACAACGCCCGGAGCCAAAGATGACACGACAACTCGTTGGCACATGTGACACACGCACATGACGTGCACACATGGGGCTCGAGCCATGGGGCTCGCCCCCTTCCACCGGTCACTCGGCCGACGGCATGACCCGCCGCAACCGGTCGACTCGCCCGCCGACGAACTAAGCCAGACACGACTCATGGGACTGCCAGTCCGGACTGCCGAGAGTTCCGGCCAGGGGTGGTGCCAGGGGGTTCAATGGGGCGGCATATATTCCAGTCCCATGGAGTGTATGGGTTATGATGATATAGAGGGGATGCTACTTTCAGGTATACAACCAACATATATAGGATGAAATGATGGTGCAACATCGGCCTCTCTGATGATTCTCCCGAAGGACATGGTGCAACATCAGGTTCTACGAACAGAGATTGAGCTGGAGGTGAATGATCAGAGATGATCAGATGGAGCAATGCTATGAGCAACTCTTGTTTGAAGTTACGATTCATCGAAGAGATCAATGAAATCAAGGGTTGCATGATGGCATGATGTAGCATGCATCCATATTGTGCCACTACCATGGTGGGCTTTGTTGTGAGACTGCCCAAGTCTTTTTGCAACTTGGAATTTGTATGCAATAGCAATGTGACACATGCACCACTTGGCACCACACCTGGGGAAAAGAGACCAATCCGATCCATTCTGACTGCATCTCACGCTGCTTCTGCCTCTTCAGCAGCCGTCAGGTGCGGAAGCAGCTGGAGGAGTTGGGCTGGTCCCCTGAGATGGTGGAGAAGGCGCTGACAAATGGCGTCAGCAGATGAAACTGTGATGGGGTGACCTCAAAAAGGCTCATGTGTTTTCCCAAAAATAGGCATGACCAGAACTGTTTTGCAAATGAATAGTTAGTATTAACATGACTGCAGCACGTACAGAAAACATGTCACTCAGCCTCACCTCCTGAGTTCCACACTTGAAGATGCGCTAGTACCAGATGTGATCCTTCCGCATTTTTGTATGAGTCGAACCGGGTAGAGTCCAGATGATTCCCAGTGACTCCACCTGACTCAATGTTTGTTTTAGGTGGGCACTTCACCTCCACATCATGATCTTCGCAGCACCCAAAACAATGGACCAATTCCGCTCGTTCTGCTGCTGCCACAGGCAGCAGAAGCCATGCAGGTGCACCGGCAGATGGCTTCAGTGAAGGCAGCTGCGACGATCTCGTCTCGATCTGGTGGGGTGCCTGAGACCCAATGGTCACAAGTACACCGCCGTCGACACTGCGAAGGACACCCCAAAAACACCACCGAGTTGAAGTGTTTTGGGGCATCATATGTGCCATAATGTGCCATACCTGGATCTTCATGGATCTTCCAACTCTGCAAAGTGTTTGCCTTTTGGCTGGTGTGAAAAGGCAGACATTTGTCACGTCGTTGGAAAATCAAGGTATCATGAATGTGTGTGGGTGAAGTTCCGTCTCTCTCACCCCATTCACCTCCCTCGTTTCCCCGAACGAACGCCGCTCAAAGCGGTTCCTCAAAGAGGGTCAAGGTCACGACGCAGTGTCGACGCAGAGAACCGTCGACCACGAGGACTGTCCGGACCGTCCGTGGACGTGACTCCGGACTCCCAGACACGGGGTCAACAACCTGACTGCTGCGAAGCGAGACGCGCGAGAAGGATTTCCTGTTTGTGGAGAACCAGTGATTCCCAAGTTAGGGACCAGCGACCAGGAGGTTCTGGCGGGTCATCACTGCTACGCTACTGGCGAGTCGACCAGTCAGGGGGTTCGGTTCCGTTGGGTTCCTGGAAGTTTCAGTTCCGCTTGCCTCGATCCAGAACGTCCTGACCGCCTTTGCCAAGCCGATGCAAGAGCACGTCGCTTGGAAGAGCACGTCGTATCGGTTCAATGATTTTTGAAGAGTGTGCCAATGGCCGGCGAGACTCACATGTGTTTCATTCGTCACATTTCCCGGAAGAGGTGATCCACAGATCGCAAAGCATGAGTGTTAGCAACATGAATTGAAGATTGTGCCAAGAGTTTGGAGGTGAGAAGGTGGCTTGGTCTATATATATATATATATTACTATATTATATTATACTATGTCCATTTGGCCCCATGAAACACAGCCGTCAGCCAGAATCTTGAGGTGTCAGCCTGTGTCAAGAGGAGTGCAACCCTATCCCCATGTGTTCGTTCATATGCGTGCATGGTTCAATCAGAATGTTCGTCTCACCATGGTCTCAGGGGCAAGTTGCAGGAGTCAAGTGGTCTTTGTGCGCTGCTTCTCGGACCTTCCAAGCCTTCCAACATGTTCTCTCGAGAAGACCTGTTTCTGTTGGTTGGAGCTGAACGTCCGTTGACCCGAGTTCAACGGACAGCTGAACAAGAAAATCACCACCCAAGTAAAGATGTCGACCGCCCTTGGGATTGCCAAAGTCGTTTGCTTTTGCTTCGCTGAGGTCTTCAGACACATGTCATCATTTCATATCATTTCCCCACCTCCGAGTATACTTCCTCAGAAGGTCTGACTGGACCCTCCTGGCACCCACCCTCCAACACTTGTCAGAAGGTACGACTGTAGGCCTCTACGACTTGTCGATCACGTTCATTCCGTTTCGATCCTTCCTGCTTCCTTTTGTGAAAAGCGACCAGAGGCCTCTACCCAAGGCCGACTACATCCATCCTGGTCGTCGCTTGGTCGTGATATTTGGGAAAAAGACAGATCGAGTGGTTTATAGACAACCCTCCAAGAACCACCCCTGATCATCTATATGTTCTTGTTACTAGTAGTAATGCTAGCGATGGCCTCCAACCTAATAAATAGGGATGGCTTCCTACTAGTGATGGCCTCCAACCTAATAATAGCGATGGCCTCCAACCGAGTGGTTGATAGACAACCCCCCAATGACCAGTGTATTTTTCATCCATGCTCCATCTATTAGATCCCCTGGCCATCTATGTTCCATCTAACAACACGAACTGGGTGGTGCGCACCACCCAGTTCGTGTGTATTAAACTATAACTATATAGGGAGACCTCAAAGTTCGGAACCTGCCGACGAAAATCGACCAGTCTACCCAGTCTACCGGGAGGTTTGCCCGACATATTATACATACCGGTATGAATTATCCACATCATTGAATCGTCGAAGTGAAGGAACCGATATCGCTTTGATCGAAGAAAGCTGTTTTTGGTTCCCCTTGGCCAGCAGATATGCTGCTCCAGGTGGAGCGTGGGTGAAACACCGCGACACCGCACACCGCACCGGGTGGGCCATTGAGCACTGTGGGCGTGTTCGGGTGCACGGCGTGTGTTTGCGATGTTGAGTATACTGGATTCCATGGAGTGTGATGGAGTGTTTGGGGGATAGGAGAACGTATATTGCTTGTGGCTCAGGGTAGAACACCATTGTAACCATTGTCCTTTTTCTTGACGTGACTTTCCCCGCAGATCGCATCTACAGGATCTTGTTGAAGCAGCACACTAGATTCGGGTGGGTTCAGGTCAACTATTCCAGTCCTGTGACAAGAATTGGATATCATCCATGATTTCAGCTGTTTCTGGAGCTCACCAACTGTCAACATCCTTTGGCATGTCCTGGGCTGCAAGGGGGGCATGGAGACATATCCGAGAGGTCGTGGTTTTTGTTCGATGCACGGATCCCGGTCAGACCCCATTTTGGACAGATACGCTGATGCTGTGGACTGGACACAAAGGCGTTGATGCTTTGATCAGTTTTGCGTCATGATTTGCGGTCGTTTTTTTCCATTTTGTTTCCCCTCCCCAGGCTTCCATGATCATACATGCTCAGCTTTTACCGTAGCTTTTTTGGCATATTATGTTCAGTATGCTGCTGTTTCACTTCAATCCGTAACAGATTCTTCGCTCCTCACGGAGTCACGCCAGTCTGACCAGATGTCCATCAACCACTTTGCTTTCGGCTACCTGATGCTATGTCATTCCATGAAAGATTCCATTCCCGTTTGGAGTTCCTTCCCCAAGCGACCAACCCCCAGCTTCCCCAAGGGACCAACCAACCGCGAGGTATGGAACCTCGACGGGGCGACTGAGCTGCAGCAATCCCAACCTGCAGGCCTTGCCCTCCCCCGAGAAGGCGCCAAGCGACCGTCGCGCGACGAGCGTGGCAGCCGAGGAGGGCGCTTGGGAGGCGTCCGCGAGGATGGGATTTCGATTGAGCACAGATCGCAGCATCTGATGATTGCAAAGACCATTCAAAGACCACGCGATTGTTCTGTCTGATTTCTCGGCCGTGTTTTTCTACGACGATACATCGTCGAGTCGAGTTTGGCAAACAAGGTTCGGCAAGTCTCGCGTTCGTGGCATCGATCGTTTCTCCGGTCGAGTCGACCGGACGCCGATGTGTCACCGGGGGAGAGACCGGTCTGTGGACCGAAGTCTGGTCCTGCCTTGCTGCGTTTGCTGTGCCACCATCGTGCCATCGAGATCGGACCATGTCTCCTGCCTTGCTGGACATGTGTTTTTGTTGTTCCATTTGATGTGCTGTGCATGGTGCACGTGAGGACACGCCAAGTAAACGTCGAACCGGGAAAAGACACAAAAACAACGGCTCCCAGGATTCCTACAAGGTTCGGAGTGCCTTGAAAGCGGCCGACGGCCCGGGGGGTCCCAGAGTGACAGCTACGGCACGTGCAACGGCGGGGGCTTGAGGAGGTGTTTTTGTTTTTGTTGCGCATTTGGTGATGTGTGTATGTTTTTTTGGGGGGAGAGCGCTTGACCTAATTCTATCCTTAATTCAGTAGACTACCTTAGAACCTTATTTAGGAGATTCATTTCCGCAAACGGTGTTTATTTTATATAATATGTGTGTTTTTATGTGTGTTTTTTAAGAAAAAAAACTTGTATGATATGTTTTTTACTGTATATACCCTTGATGTTCCCCAAAAAAATGAGCGAGTCCGTCATGCCCTCATGTTTTTGTGGGGGATCAGATCCTCTTTGAGAATCACCCCAAGGGATTCAGGTCATCCATGGCCTCTATCAGAGTGAACATTTCAAGCCTTGCTTCAAAGGAGAGATACTGCATCACCCGAAGGGTAACGAGTTTCATGGAGGATACCCAGGCGATCCCAGCCCAAGAAACATGAGTTGGCATCAAGCTCTTCCGGATGTCTCATCTATGGGCAGAATCTAGAAAATCCGTTGCTTTTTCCCCGTCTACGCAACTGTTTTCCACCACATCGCAACTGCCTAGTCGTCCACATCGAGACGCGACGTGGCTGCGGTGCCTTCAGGCCACACTTTCATCCTGGCGGACTATTCACAGTTAGAGCTTCGGATTTTAGCCCCGGACGCCCAGAGCTTCGCGTGGAGTGCGAGCGGAGGGTTGTGATGTGTGAGGAGAATTGATCACAGATATATGAAGGAACTGGAAAAGAACACGGGATCTATATGCATATATGATATGTCATTGTGAATTCATGTATTCTTATAGGTATGCCACTATATATATATATATAGATAGATATACATGTGCAGTAGCCTATCACGTCTTCGCCACCGTTTTGGGCTCCAGTCGCAGCGGCGATGGAGGGGGAGACCTCCTCCTCCTCCTCGAGCGGTGGACGCTTTGTGGCGCCGCTTGGGTTGAGAGGCGATGGCCTCGTAGCGATGGCCGACTTTCTCCGAGGCGAAACCATGGATTTTTCGGAGATTGCCCAGACAAGCTACTTGAACTCATGGGGAAACAGAGGTGCCAGTGAGGGGTCTCCATGCCCCTGCATTTTGCCTGGCTGCCTTACAGATACCGAACTGCATTGCTCGAACAAAAGGTGCACCCAGGCGCTCCGGCGTTTCGCCACCGCTTGCAGCCCTCAAAAAAGGGAAACCATTCAAAAGCCCAGCGGTCACTCCTTTGGGGGTAGGATTTCGGTGTGTTTTTCGTGTGTAGTGTGTGTGTGTGTGTCACCCCCTGTATCTAAGGGTTCCACCTCTGTAACTAAGAGTTTTGAATGCAGGGGGCCATCCCCCTCCCCAGTGGCGGATGGCCAACGAAGAGGCCACTGGGGGGGGCTGCAAACGTACCTGCCGAACTGTTGTACAAGCTGTCACTCCACTCTTTCTTTGTTTGTTTCCATGGTGGTTCATGCTACTTCCCCTAAACCCTTTTCCCTCGGTTTCAGCTGCCGTCCGCCGCTCGTCCGCTGCTGTCGCGAGTCTGCAGATGCGCACAAACTATTTGTTGAAACACCTTCAATTGATCGGACTCCTCACCTTGCCGTTAAGCCATTCCTTTCCTCGGGGAATTGAGTTAACTGAATACAATTGTCAAAGTGTGCGTGTGTGTGTGTGTGTGTGTGTGCGTGCGTGTGTCAACTGCTGCCTCTAAGGACTTCGACCACACTAAGGATTCCTACCTGTTAAAGCACATAATTCACTCATTGTTGCCAGACTCTGTACACAGCAGGGGACCAGGCAGGATACATCGTCGCCTGGTCAACGAAGCTGGCGAATCCGAGGGTGTGGAAATGGGACGCCATTTCCACGCACCTGCAATTTTTAACCTCCTTTAAAGGGCTAGTGCGACTGGGACTTCGTCAACTAATTCTGCTCTTGCGAGCCTTTATCTAAGTGTGTATCGCCGAAGAGTCCCACTGAGGGCTGTGGTGTGATCCCCAGCGAGGGGCGCGGCATGTGCACATACCCTTAAAGGTGATCCTCCCTGATTCCTCGGATTGCACGTGGACTTCGTTGGCCCCAGTGTTCTGCTCGAGATTGCTGATCATACGCCGCAGGGCTCACTGAAATTTCACCCGAAGAATGACGTGCCATGCTGCTAAGTATTCATAGGCGGTAGGCTGTGCTGCTAAGTATTCATTTCTCCAAGGAACGAAAGTGCCCATTTTATGCCCCAGGGCTCACTGAGAACCTTTCAAAGAATGACATGACATGCGGCTGCGTATTCATAGGACAGGTTTCGGCTAAGTAATCAATAGGCCTGACTCACAATTTGTTTATGAGCACTCATTGCTCGCGCCATGCACTACCCATGGCATACTTCAGCAGCTCCCTTCAGGACTTATGGTCCAGTACCTGCAGTACCACCGTCAGCGCGTGCTCAATAGCACACCACCTCCGAGTGATCCTCCAACACACCCGACCTGGCCTCCGATGTCATTTGCCTCAACATATGCCTCCACATATCTCCACATCCAATCCGAGACCAACCTCAAGGCCTACCACCGGCATGGCCCACCCACATGTACCCACCACCGACACAGCCCACTTCTACGTATTCTCCACCCACAGCTTCCCCACACACCTTTCGACTCCGCCCTCCACGAGTGATGAAGAAGATGACGACGACGCCGCTCAACCCCCGAAGCACACATTGTTGCATCCCATTTTTTCCACACGCTCCCTCCACCAACCCGTCAGAGTGCGCCGAATGACGGCTTTTTGTGTGTGTCAACTCCTGCCTCTAAGGACTTCGACCACACTAAGGATTCCTACCTGTTAAAGCACATAATTCACTCTTTGTTGCCAGCAGCAGGGGACCAGGCAGGATACATCGTCGCCTGGTCAACGAAGCTGCAATTTTTAACCTCCTTTAAAGGGCTAGTGCAACTGGGACTTCGTCAACTGATTCTGCTCTTGCAAGCCTTTTTCTAAAAGTGTGTGTGTTGCAAAGTTTCAGTTGCAAATGAAGGCTCTAATCGAATTGCAGTACCCACAAGCGGTGCCGGAGCACAAACTCGACTGGCTGACATCGACCGACGTGGACCTGCATCGGGGCACACGGGGCGTCCACCACCTTGGAAAGGGTTGGTATTCCCAGACACTCCATGTATGCCATATATGCCGATCAGTTGGGGTGGTGCCAGGGGGGTCAATGTAGGCATATATGGCAGTCCCATGGAGTGTCTGGGATTGATGGGTTCGGTCCAGCTCTGAAAAAGCCTCAGGTTCGCTTCGAACGAACACTGAGGAAAGTGAACAAGGGCTTGCTCCAAGATGACGAGACGCCGGGGGGCGTTGCTTGGTGCTTCACGGGACCGGTCCTCACAGCTACGCGGGGTTGACCAGAGAGGGAAGAGAAGGTTTTTCGGTTTCACTCGCAGCGATGCCACTTGGTGAACTCATAGCGATGCCACGTAGCTTACGTTCGTAGTTTCTTGTTCCGTTGAACGGCACTGCCAGGAGCGCTGTAGTTTCTTGCTTTTGAAGGGTTGACGTCAACAGTGTCAGGCTGCAAGACAAAAAACATATAGGCCAGTAGGGCGTAAGAGAAGGGCAGCCATACAAGGCCACCCCATTTTAGATTGGATGGACACAATTTGAACAATCAATTGCATAGGATTTAGGATGGATGGTTAAACAACTATGATGTGTTGCACGGAGGGGGGTTTAATACCCTGCCAAAGACCGATTTCCCGTTTGGGGTAAAGGTGTGTTTGAACGAACAAGATGGAACCCACGAACCCGAACGCACACACGCACTCGAAAACAAACGGCCAAATTGTTCGACAATCTTGTGAGACACTTCTTTGGGACACTTTGCGAGACTTCCTCCCAAAGTCACACGTGAAGTCTGCAAACGAGCATGCGGTTCGAGACTTCCGCCAAAAGTCAGCAAGTCTAAACCAACGACAGCATAAACCAGAGGGGCTTTCTGAACGTGCAATAATAACAATAGAAGCGTGTAAAGCATGCTTTAAAAGGACAGAAAATGGAAACAACATGCAAAACAAATGCCGTAATGTAATATCATGTAACCACATGATTGTTTGGGCAAAGTGTTTGGGAAAGGGTAACGGGCAAAGGACCTCAGGAAAAAGATGCACTGGAAGAACCAGAGAAAGGGAAATAGTGACACAGGTCTACCACGAACGGTTGCGGACAGTTGCGGTCGCTAAGACAACGAGTCATCCTCCAAGAGTCTACCCCGGCCTACCCCCAGAGTTCAACGAGAACGATTGGATCATCCGCTCTCCAAGGAGCCTTGGTCCAGACCACGGAAGGGTGGACCTCGCCCGAAGTCACGTTCCAACCCCGTCTTGCTGGACCTCCTTGGGTCCCACCGGTCGCAAAGAGAGGTGCTGTGGTGTTTAAAGTGTTTGGTCCTTATGCGTACAGAACTTGACGAACATAGAGGTGTTCAATATGTGCTTTAGCACATATGGAAAGGGTCCTATAACCCTCTATGTGTATAATGAATGACTCATGTCCAACTCCATGCATCAACAACCGGTCTTCCACCTATCCGTTGTTTCTCGGGGAAATCCCGCCATTCGGCGGCCCATTCCGCCCCAGTCTGGGGAGCCTCAAAGCCGGCTGAGCGTGGAGAGTGCCTTGGAGAGGATTGACAGATCCGAGTGCTGTCGTGCCAAGCGTTTGGGGGCAGGTTTTCTATGTTTGCACAACCCGGACGACCAAATATGACCAAAGTGAGTACCAAAGTGTATAATTATTCCAGGCTGAAAGCCACCATTGGTTTAGTAGACTACAAAATCAACTCAACCATTTTTGAAATGGCCTTGGAAGGCTTCGGGTATATGCACATAGTTAATTATACAACAAGTATTCAAGTATCTATGCTCAATGACCATTCATAATTCATGTCGTCAAGATCAATATCCTCTTCGTTTTCTGCAAAGGACCAGCTCAAGAGACCAGCAAACCGCTGGAAGCACCGGTCGTGGCACGGCTCGGCCAAGTGACGAGTCAAAGAGAAATTCATACCAGGAAGGGGTTGTATTGATAGCCCCTTAGGGGTGATTCGGGGTGTCCATGAACCACCCCGACTGTGGATCCTGGTGTTGAAAACGTTTGTTCATCCCATGGTTCAGAGTGCTACGTAAACTCTGCCTATCGGGCTAGCAGTCACACATCAAAAAAGATGAACCGTTGGTTTTTTAAGCCACCTCACTGTTAGTTGATGTTTTCATTTCTATTTGGAGTTTTCACCTTGCCCATGCTTCCAGGGTAACACCCCTGAACTCCACTACACTACATTGATGTTTGTATTGAGGTGATGGGGTGAGGAATGGGATGGGTGGATGTATGTGAAAGTTTGTCTTAAATAGGACCTCTTGCAAAAGAGGAACGCGCCGAAAGATGCACAGTTGTGGTGGTTTTCATTTTTCTTTCGGCTTTTGGGTTTGATGTGTTGACTGAATGGGTTGCATAGCACCTCTTGAGAAACAGGAATGCACTGCAAGGTGCACCTTTAGCACACGGAACACTAGGATTTGGTTATTATCAACCCTAGCCTAGAAAACAATCTTTATCAGGCCCAAGTTCATGATGTTGACCTTCATGTTTTTTAATTACGATGTTGCGGCGATGGTCAGAAGCGTGGGCTTGCACGTCGATTGGTGTGGCTTGGCTGTTGCATTGTGCACTGTACGCTGGGCCTTGGACTTTCTACCCTAAGATTTGATGCAGTAAGTGACAACTTATAGTAGTGGACCACTCTTCAAATTCCAGGAGTTGAACGCCCTCTAATCTGGAGCAACTGATTGCTTTGTTTGTGAGAACCATTGTTCCATGTGCTTTGTTTCAGTTTCCTTTGTCAACCAGTTTCTGGAATTCCAGAAGCTGGACCAACTCCCCGCAATTTGCAGGAGTTGTGCAATGAAGCTTTTCCAAAGAACATACTGACCGAACGATGGAAACTTGTGTGACCGAACGACAAAAAACTTGTTGACCGAACGCAAAAAGCTTGTGTATCGGCACTGGCAGTGCCCGAACGACAGAAATCTTGTTGACCGAACGCCAAAAACTTGTGTATGGCCACTGGCAGTTCCCGAACGACAATCCCAGGAGTGACCGAACGACAGATCTCAAGCTGACTGATGCATCAAGTGGTCCAACTGTATGGGCGCCGCCAGTTCCCGAACGACAAACCTAGGAGTGACCGAACGACAGATCTCAGAGCTTACCCTGCCATCTGAGGGGGGGTAGCTGTCGACCCCTCAGATGGCATGGGCACCGCCAGTTCCCGAACGACAGATCTCAGAGCTTACCCTGCCATCTGAGGGGGGGTTGATCAACATCATCATGTGACAAGATGTTTGTAAACCAAAGAGCTTACCCTGCCATCAGAGGGGGGTAAGCACTTCCTGATATATCAAATAGTGCACCCTGTGTTAATGCTATCAATGGAAAGATTATACAGTAAACCAAATAGCTCACGCGGGGATAATGCTTTCCGTGAAAAGATGTATAAAGAAACAAAACGCTCACCGTGTGATCAAAGGGTTTTACTATGAACCCCTCAGATGGCAGGGTAGACTAAGCTTGCAAGAGAAGATCAACCAAGATCAAGATCATGTCTTTGATGTTCATGCCGCTGACCAAGATGATGAACAATGGTATGGTCATGATGACAGCCTTGATGTTCAAGGTCTTCAATGAGAAGAGAAGAATAGAGGTGCTTGTAGTGTTTTTCATTCATGATGATGACTCACAAGAAGATCAGCATCATGATCTTAAACCTGATTGACATTCTTGT